GCTTTATTTTAGTTTATCTAAAACTAAGACCTAAAGCTAAAATTCTAAGACAGCAGTAGGAGATATATATAGATAGAGATATAGAGATAGAGACAGACACACACACACACACACACACACACACATACAGTTACTCAGTGTTGTTCAAAGGTTAGCCACCTTTGTACTATGTCAAGGAATGGGAATTAGTTAGCTTGGATCTTATCTTGCTGGTGGCATAACAGAATTTGGCAGTGTCCAAGGAGATAGAGTCCCTTTGATCTGGTGGGATGGTTATTTGCAAAAGCTTTTTAGAAAGCTGTTCTTCTGCTCTATGTACTGTTTTGAATATATTCCAAGAAAGTGCTAACAATGTACTTGTACTATATTCACTTCCTTAGTGGAGAATGAGAACCACTGTGATTTTGTGAAACTCCGGGAAATGTTGATTTGTACAAATATGGAAGATCTCAGAGAACAGACTCATATGCGCCACTATGAACTGTATCGGCGATGCAAACTGGAAGAAATGGGTTTCCGAGACACTGGTCCAGAAAACAAACCTGTCAGGTAAGAACATTTTTTAAAAATTTGTATTTCAGTAATAAAAGAATGTATTCACACTCTTTATTCTTAGTACTCCTTACTTGTAACAGCAAGAAGGGAACGTAACTTCTTAAACTGTTAAAACTGTCAGTAGAAATCAAGCATTTAAAATAATTCTATAGCTAAAATCTGAAACTGTTTGCTTAAAAAACTTGTCATTCTGAAATTGCTTGGGCCACCACCTGTACCTCAGTGGCTAGTTAGCCAGCATGAGAGTTACCTGCAGCTTCAGCTGCTCTAGTTGCATTTGCAGCATAGCAAGTATTGGAAACCATTTCTTTGGGAGTACCTGATGGTCACTCAAGACAACAGACTTAAACAAACAAAGCTGTGGCCATTCTGAAGAGTGCCCTATTTGCACTGCAAGAGTAATCAGTGCATCTCACCTGCAATCAAGTATTGTTGCTTTCTGCAGTCCTGCAGCAGTATTGGCTTCCTCTGAACTGGGGGTGATGCTTTTAGCAGCAGTCATGTTTTCTAGACAAGAATGGCTTGAGGAATGTTTTGTGAAAGTGGGTCAATCGTATTCTTGTTTTAGGGGGATATAACTAAAATATTTCAACATTTCCTTCGTAAGTTTTTGGGGGGGATATTAATTATTCATTTTTGTGATACTATGTCATTTATGCATTCTTCCTTTTTTGCTTATAATTTTTATTAAAGTTTTGATTACGGTAGTAAAAACTAATACAAACTAAACTTAAAGTAAGAAAAAAGAATAGTAAAAAAGAAGAAAAAGTACCAAAAAAAAGATAAAAAGATAAAAAAAAGAATATGATTAAGAAAAAGAAAAGAACCATAGAAAGAAGTGATTTCCAACCTTCATTACAACAGGTATAGACAAATTTAGTAACTCTTCACCCCCTATAAGGTTACAAACAGGTATCTCTTCATCCCATAGTTCATCCCTTAAGAAAAAAACAGAAAATAGAAAGAAAAAGGAAAGAAAAGAAGAGTAAAATATATTGGAGAGAAAAGAAATATATAAAGAAGTGACTTCCAACCTTCTTCACAACAAATATAAACATTTTTGTAACTCTTCACCCCCTCTTAGTTTATAACCAGTGATCTCTTCATCCCATATCCCATCTCTTATCTATAGACAGATCCATAAAGTATCATCTTTTCAGTCCTAGTGTCAGCAGAAAGTCTGTTAAGGGTTACCAGAAATAACAACATATCTTATTTTAACCTTGATCAAATAAACCAACTGTATATTCCTTCCTTTTACTTCTAACAATCTTAATCTTTATTCAAATAATTTCGTAGAATTTTATTTCTCTTCGTTTCTTCTTTGTCACTTCTCACAAGATTCTTCAAAGCTTTAATAAGCCTCTTTTGTAAATCCAATATAAAAAGAATTATCCAGGTCACTCTCTTGGTTTATTATTTGTATTTCCCTTTTGTTTTTTTAAAACATCAACCGGTTTATTTTGTATGCCCAGTGAGATCCTTTTCTATATCATTCTTGTAACCTGTCATTTGTAGATCCATTTTCGATGCCAACTCTGTCTTGTCAAATATAACTTGTTCCTCATCTGCCATTTCTTCCATAACATCTTTTGGACACAGTCTATCCATAGAAGCAAGCTTCACAATTGACATTGTTGATACTAACTTCTGATTCCATTTTTCAAAAGTATTTTGAAATAATTCAGTATTTTCAATGTTAAAATATTTTGCGTCATTTTATACGTCCTGGTTAATTAGCTGTTAATCAGGCTTGTGTATTTTTCTCCTTTAACTAAAATCTTTAGTTCCCTCTAATGTCCAATTTTTAAGATTACTTACCTTTATTTTGTCTTGCAAAAGTCCAAATAAATCTATTTCCCATGAGAAGGATTCCAAAATCTTATTCCAAATTTATCTGGACCCTTAATTCATTTATAACTTTCTAGGATCAAAATCTTGTTTAGCTTTTTGCTGTTTATTTCTATTTTTTTGAATTCTTAAACTTAAAATTTTCTTTCATTAAGGACTGAAGGAAAACTCACCTGGCATTTTCAGACTTGTTGATCTGAAAGTGTCTAATAGCTTAAAAGTAGTTAACAAGCAATTTCTGAACGTGATTAGAAAAGAAAGTTTGTGAACTTAGTGTCCTTTAGAAGGTGCCAACCGCAGTTGTGAGCAAGATTACTATTCCTGTCATCTCCCAGGGCTCAAAACCCACCAAGGACTGGTATGTTGCGGTCTCCTCGTGAGGAGCAACTGTTCAAGGAGGGGAGCACATGTAGGCAATCTCCCCTCCTTGTCCGAAGAGGTTCCGAAGAGCCGGTCTATTCATGGCTTTTCACACAGCTCTCTTCAGTCCACCGTTCTTCCTCTGCAAGTCCTTATCTGGAGAGGTTCCAAAAAACCAACCTACTCACTGGTTCTTTGGTCTTTGCCGCAGTCATTGGCTCTGCTTTCGCAGAGACATCTTCAGTTTTCCATGCCTCTCCCATTCTTCCTTTTATTTTTGACTTTGCAATGGATATAAGTGAGTAGGTTCATACTCCCTTTTCACTGTTTTTCTGCCACTAATACCTAAAACAGAAACTATGCTGCTGATGGCCTTCAGAATCTGAACAAATTGAAGCAGGTACTGAATAGACTGGAACTCTCTGGCACTACTTTTAACAACCTGGAATTTTCCCATTGCTGATACTGATGGATATCTTTGATAAATCAAGGTAGACTTTTCCAAGATATTATAGTGCTGAAATAAAACTTCATATATTGTTGGGCAATCCAGTGGAAAAATAATCTCTTAATTGTTTTATGGATTATTATTGAACTATCAGACAATGATATAATTACCAAAGAGTTGCTAGGAGATGCTATTCCAGGGAAAAGATATCTCACCACTTCTTGAGAAATTCTTAGAGTTTAGGATATGTCCTTCTTTACACCTTCCATTATGTATAGAAAGCATAAAGAAAGGGTGCATGTGTAGTATATCTACAAATCTTCAATAAGGTTAGCATGGAAAATAGTGTTGAGGTGATTTTAATAAAATTAATAGTGGTTTGGAATTAAAATTAAGAATGTTCCTTTTCATGTAATAGTTGAAAAAGACTGCTTTGTGAGTTCCTTGGGGCTACGGAAATGAAATGAATGAATGATTGAGTGAAGATCATATAAAAGGATATTCAAAAGTGCTCATACCATTTAAGTAAGTTTTATAAGTAGGCTTAGATTACATATTTAATTTAAATGAACTTCTGTTACTTTAAAGAGCTCTTTGTTCACACACCCTCAGAGAAGGGGACCCAACAATGGCATATGGTTACAACGATATTTATATATCTTAAAAACAAGTTAGCTGCCTATAGGGAAGGATTGCTAATTTGACCGCAAAAGTAGTTATAACTGCTTAGGTTAAAAATTGACTGTGTTTTAACATAATGCTTTTAATACTAGTAGCTTCAGTTTTACTAAGATAAGGAAAGAGTAGACTTGTTACCATCTTCAGTCATACTCATGTTGCATACAGCTTTCCCTGCTAACACTAAGGACACAATACCAGTCAGTTTTGGCACATTTTGACCAGCTTGCAACAAGTACAAAGCTCAGTTTTACTCCCAGTGTACTCACACTGGAAGTGAGCTGGGATTCTAAGCAGCTTGTTGGAAATGGCAAATTCCATTTGGTAAGATGGTATCTGATGTATCCCAGTGCTTTGGTCTTTGGAGATAAATACCAACACTGAATTGGGCCAAGGGGCAAGAATAGCCAGTGAAGGAACTTAAGAATCACTGTTATCCTGCAGTGACAGGGTTAAGTCACCCACAGTCTAACCATTGCATTCTGGACCAGCTGCACCTTCCAAGTCATTCCAAAGGGGGTATGAGCGAAAGATGTTTGGGGAAGGGATGTTAAGGTAAGATGGTTAATTTGGAGTGTTTTATTAAGTTAATAGTTTTAGTTCTTAGGTTACGGGGTGTTTGACCTGGCTATCCTGCATAAGAGTCTGAATATAGTAGCTATGTCTAGTGGATTATGTGCAGTGTGAGAGTCCCCTTCAATATTTCCTATCTCACTCCTGTTCTCTTACTATGTGGAGGGAGGGAACCCATGTCGGTCTTCCTGAACTCTTACCCAAGGAGTGTGGTCTACCAATCCCTGTTCAATTCTAGCTGAATTTCTCTGGTTCACTTGATCTCTCTGATCAGCATCACAGTGGTTTCTGATGCAGCCTAAACTGCACATTAGCTCCAAAGCAGCTCATTGGAAATCCATCCACTTTCTCTGCTCTGTTGTATATAACCACCAAGCTTCTCCATACAGATGGTTCTCAGTAAATCAGTTCTTTGGCAGCCCGACTTCCTGGCCTCCACCAGAACTGTTCAGACAGAATCCAGCCACTAAATTCCAAAACCTTGCCACTGCTTTTGTCATTGTTTTTCTTGCTGCTGCTCAGTTAACAATGATGGTGACAGCCTGTTTCCTCCAGTGCTCCCTGGTTGCTCATGTTGATAGAGCAGTTCACCTCCAATCAGCAGTTCCACAGTTGTCATTCTCCTTGCAGTAGCTCCTTGGTAGCAGTACATTTATTTATCATGTGCTATAACTAAGTGTAGTACAGGCAGAGGATAAAGACAGCAATTACTGTAGTACTCTATCATCCTAAACACAACTGATGGAAACTAGTAGCAAACTCTTTCTACCAGGTAGTCCATTGCCCCTTCACTTTTGCTCTTCATTCTCTTCCAACCTCTAGCATACCCTTCCTCATCATTGATCATCCATTTTAGCTACTCAGTCATAATCCCTGCACCACTACTTTCATTTTCCTAACTTCTTCAAGCTACATTCACTTCCAATTTATGCTTTCATTCCCCCTTTCCTACTCACAAGCAACTTTCCCCCAAAATAAAAATCCACATGAACCTCATTCATATGTAAGAAAATTCATTTTATGTTTGTTGATTTAGAGAAAGTATATGATAAATATTGGAATGTTTGCATGAATTAAAGTTTGC